AAATGCATATTGATTGCCTGTAAGTAGCAGACACTGGGCTAGATGCTTGGATAAAATTGTGAACAAGAGAGAAATGGACCCTCCTTTCTCTATGTTTACAGTCTTTAAGAGGAGGCAGATTGTGATTTGTGACTTTTAACTCATAAACCTCTCAGCACAATTGTACCTTCTGATTTTCACCATAAGAATTAACTTGTTGTTTGCAAGCTGCTACCCAGTATCCATTCTCTCCTTGCTCCTTAGTGGCAGAAACTGTTTCTTGGATCCTAGCTAAAAGATTACATTTCTTAACCTCTTTTGCAGCTATGAGTTATCTAAGAGATTAAGAGAAAGTTGTTTGGCAAGACTTCTAAGAAGATTCCACTCCAGTGGGCACAGAACTGAAATGGGTCCTTTCCTGTCCCCCTCCCTTCCCTTTGGTTCTGTGTTAGGCCTGGAACTCAGTAGCCATTTTGGGTCATGAAAAAATCTTATAGATGGAAGTCACTTTTCAGTAGGGTCTGGGTCCCTGATTAAAGGGGAGCTGCCATGACTACTTTGGACTGCTGACCTCAGAAATTTCTATTTCAGGTGAGTAAGAAAGTTTATGCTATTTGAGCAGCTGCTAAGGCCTGGAACCTACCAAAAGCATATTTTGAACTGATACATCTCTTATTCCAAGACCATTTAGCTTCAAAGAAAAGTTCATTGTTCTAGTTTCCTAGTATTTTGTGAGTAGATGGGTGGCTTTTCTTTGGAAATGTAATTTTAATCTGCATTAGAGAAACAGAGAGGAAAAACAGAATTCAAGTAATGCTGAGTAAAATACTATTCATTTTCCTTGAGTATGGATGTCAGGTCTAATTGTTCAAAATGAAACAATATGGCTCATTACAGATGAATTATGAAATCCATTTAAGAGCCTGTTAAAATAGTGTCAAGGAGGTGATAAGAAGCCAAAGTTTTAATATTTCAGGAAGAAGACATTTGAACTACCCCAGAGAATATAATTATAAGAAAGAATAAAGAGGAAAAAGAAAGGAAAATAAAACAAAGAAAGGCAAGGCTATTTTAAGAAAATATATCAAAGTCTTAGGAGAAATGGTTCTTCCTTCATTTGGTTAATCGTCTTATGAATAATGCAGAAATGTTCTTTTTTGGCTTTAAAATATCCTTAGTTTAAACCCTAAGTTTTAGGAGCTGAGGCAGACAAAAGTGATTTTGCAATAAAATCTTTATTGGGCATTATCTTCACCAATCTATTTTCATACAACCGCAGAATTTTAGAGCTGGTAGGAACTTTGGAGATCATATTGTCAGTGTCTCAGGAATTCTCCTTCTTTTGGAATAAAAACTCAAAAGCAAAAATAATACGAAGCAAGGGGTATTTAGTCATTTGAGAAAGATTTTCCTTCAAATAAAACTGCTTTAAAGATTCTTTAAATCCTTGCAAAATTATTTGCAAATCTTCAGGAAAAGACTTGGTATAAATAAGACTGTCTCAAATTATCTCTTTCCTGTATTTTAAAGAAATTAAAGGTGCTTAACTTAGAGAATAGCGAAGATGAAATTCAAGATTTGATTTTGTGACTACACATTAAAAACATTTTAATGTATGCAAGGTGTGCAATGTTGTGCAAATGGAATGGGTGCCAATCTCAAGTAACAGCAAAAATCAAAGCAACAGGATAAATTAATTCCATGAGTTCTCAAGCTGACCAGCAGGTGGGGGCCCAGATTGCTGTCAAAGAGCTTATGATTAGAAGAAAAAAAGAAAAAGCCCTTAAAAAAATTTAAAATTCTCAAATAATATTCAGTTTATATGAAAAAAAAATACTGGAAGTAAGCTCACTTAATCGTTAAGTACCTATGCTCAGATCTGCAATGAAGACATTGATTTTAGATTACAACACAGTGCTCCCAATTTTAGAGAAATGCAAAATTACATAGTTCACTTGTCGCCAAACTCTATCAAAGTAACTTTGAGTAACTTTGAGTGCTTCTCACCAAAGTAGAGTTAATGGCACATAGCCCTCATAAATGTTTCTTTTTTGATATATAGATTCTAATACTTCAGAATCTATATATCAGAATTCATATAATATTTTATATATATTTTTATGATGTACAAGGAATATCTTCCCACATGCCCAATTATATTTTAAAAGCATTGAAATACTTTTAATATATCTTTTCTTGCTTTCTTTGCTTATTCAATCTTTTAACAAAGAAGTATGAATAGACTTCTGTAAAATTAATTTAAAAATTATAGATATTTGGATTGTTATTAATACAAAAAGTAAAACATTTTCATTACTAACTTACAAAACTGACAACTAATCATAGTTCATTTTTTCAACCATAAGAGAGTTAAAGTATTATTATACCAGTGAAAAATTGCACAATTTTTTCTCTACTGTGCTTTAAAACTTTTAGTTCACAAAACATTG